GTCATAAAACGACACGTGTACTACTGTTTCATGAGAAACTATTTGTTCTGTAAGCCTTCACCTGAAGTACAATAAAATATAAAAAAAAAAATTAATGTGCTTCATTATGGGATTGTTGCCTCAGATCCCATGGGGCTATTATATAGTATATGGAAATTGTCCTATATTATGTTTCTAAAAACTAGAAAGCTGTAAATTCTGAAACACTTGCCCCAAGAATTTCAAGCAAGAGACTGAAAACCTATAGTTACAACGGCCATACAGGCATAGCTCCATCTAGGCATTTGATACAGCAGAGGATTAAACTGAAGAGCACAGCATGCATATCACATTTGTTTTCAAATCAACTCCTTAGGTAAGGTAAGGTAAGTTCTCCATAAAAGGAATTTAAACGTTTACTAAAAACTAGGATTCAAGTCAATTCCATTAAAACTCCAATTGGAACACATGGAAAATTCTAATATAAGGAATAAAAAGAAAAATGTCAATATTGTGCCTCTGTAAGGAATACAACTATATGTGAAATTTACTTTATAAAATTTTTAAATAAAATCCAGTGTCCTTAGTTAACTGATGAGTCTTTACTGACTAAAAAAAAAGACTACAAATGACTAGTATGCATTTATTTTACAGCTAATTTTTAAAAAAGAACTTCAATAACGATACAAATTATTTTTAAATACTTTTTATTGGTATCATTGACCAGTTGACCCAAACTCTAATTGTCCTGGTGTTTTATCTCATCAGGGTGAGGTAATCCATGTATTTTTTTGGATTTTCTTTTTTTATTTTGTGTTTTTAAAAGACAGAAACATCTGTTCAAGTCATTAGAAACTAGTTGATGAGAATCAGGAAAGGGTTTCAATGAAGTAGATTTAAATAATCTCAGAGGATTTCATAGGACACAAAATTAACCTGTCCAATTTGAAAAGCAACATGCACGGCAAAGCAGTTAAAACTCTCACAAACCATGTTATACCAGTACCCAGCACTCAGCTCCGTTACATGAATAAATACCTACTGAACTACTGGCACCATTCTGATTTTCCTTCACAAACTGCTGCTCAATTATTCCAGAGACAAGCATTAAACACTGACAAAGAAAGGTGGACTATAACTAGTTACCCAACAAACTTGGTAACCCTGATATAAAACAGCAACACTGTTTGAAGTACCTTCCAATAATGGCATAAAAATAAATGGAGAAAGAATCCCCAGGTCTTTATGCTTTGTAAAAATATCTAAAGACTTTTTAAATGGTCTTTTCTTAAACTGTAGCCTTGAATTCGATTGCTTCAAAAAAATTAAAGAATGTAGTTATTCAAGAGGAAAAAAGTACAAGTTATAATTTTTTATTTATTTCTGCATACCTGAAGATTGGCAAAATCCAGTGTGTGAAGATAGCACTAAATTTTCAGTCACAGGCTTAATTTTCTGCTCATCACTGCTCCCATCGCCTACAGAATTCTGATCATCATCTCCTATATCGGAAGATGAGGAAGTAATCTCAGCTTGCTTCCTTTTAGTGCTTGTTCTCAGAGAATTTCTCTTTTTCTCTTTGACATTGTTTGTCTTCTTTTTAGCTGTAGGTCTTTGTTTCTTCTGCTTTTTATTATCTTCAGAGCAACTCTCCTCAGCATCAGAAGATGATGAGCCACTTTGTATTTCCTTGGTACTTCTTTTTGAATTTAAATTTCTTCTTTCCCTCAATTCTGTTCTTTTTAGCCTCTTATCAGAAGAATCACAACCATCTTCTTTCAGGTAATATTTCTCAGTATCAGATGATGAACAATCTTGTCTCCTCCTTGAACTCTTTTCAGGCAAGTTGCACCTTTTTTTCTCTCTATCAGATGCTCCATTCCTACTCTTTTTATCTTCTGAAGAGTCATAACTATCTCCTTTCCCTGGTAACTTCTCGGCATTATCAGATAATTCATTCTTCTTTTTAGAAATTTTTTCTTTTATTTTTTTACTTTTCTTTTCCCCATCAGTTGTGTCATTCTTGTTTTGTTTTATGTCCTTAGGAAAATGACATATTTCTTCTCCCTCAGGTAATTTCTCATTGTCATCAGATGATGAATCATAGTGTTGTTCCATCTTAATTACTTTTTTCTTCAAGTTTGTAGTTTTGTTTTCTTTTTCTTCAGTTCCCTTTTTTCCCTGCTTTTTATCATCTCCAGAAGACTCATCAGTCTGCTCTTTCTTTGGGAATTTCTCAGCAACTCCAGATAAGCCACCCTGTACTTTCATACACATTTTGGTTTTCAAATGCTTGCTCTTTTCTTTAGTTTCAGCAACCTTTTTGTCTTCAGGAGAATTAAAACCCTCCCCTCTTCTAGAAGAAGGCTTATCCGTGCCATCCGAGGACACACTTGGCTGCTGCTTCTTAGAGAGCCCATCTCTTAATTCCATGATGGTTTTGTCTTTATCAACTGTGCCTTCTGCTGAAAAGAATTTCTCTCTCTCTTGTTTCCTTTCAACATTATCAGATGATTTTTCTCGTGCAGTCTTCAAACTTTTCTCCCTTTGATTAGCCATTCCTTTTTTATTGTGTTTTTCCTCTTCAGAAGAATCATAATCTTCTTTATTTGGAACTCTTTTTCTGGTTGTTCTGGCAGCCCCAATTTTACTCATGCTCTGTATCTCTTTTTCTAATTCTGAGTCATAATTGGAAGATTCGGACTGGTTTTGACGTTTCTTTTTAGAAATTATAGAGCTTTTAGTCGATTTGCCCTTTTTAGTATCAAAATCTGAACCAGAAGTAGAACTTTTTCGTTTCCTTTTTCCTTTATCATCTTTCTCTGTTTGAGTCTTTAAATCAAACAAAGTTTTCTCATGGTTTGTATGAGCTTCATTAATGTCAGATTCGGAAGAAGAACTATGACTCATCCTGCTTACCTCTTTGAGGATTGCTAGCATTTCATCAAAGTCTGAATTTTGATCCACAATCTCTGACTGCTTAGACTTAGGCAATTTATTAGGTTTAGGATTATCTATAGCACTGTCAGAAGAGTTCCGTTTATCCTTCTTTCTCAGTGGAACTGATAGTTTTTGTTTCTCCTTAACTGTTTCACTGCTTTCTTCATCTGAATTAGATGTTGCAGGGTTGAGTTCTGTCTGTCGCCTCAAGGGTGTAGTCTTTACACGTGGAGATCTTCGAAGATCAGATTCTTCTAAAAGTAATGGACCTTCATTTTCAACCAAATGCTCATTATCACTGCTTTCCTGCACAGGTCCACAGTTCTCTGATTTTGGGTTGAGATCAGAACTTTTATAGCCATCTTTATCTTGGGAAACTTCCTGACAATCAGCACCTTTAACTGGGGAATTAGAAAGGGAAACAGGGGTGAGTTTAACATATAATTCTTTTGTTACTTTAGCTGAAGTTTTTGATTTAATACCTCCTCTGTTGTCTTTTGAAGAAATATTTAATTTTACAGAACTCTCCAGTTCTTGCTCAGTTCCACTGTTGCTATCCCCCTGATAATCAGCTGAACCCTGAACTTCCATAGCAGTCTCAAGATTCTCAAAAATGTCTTCTGGAACTGAGGAAGGAACAGACACAATGTCCATGTCTAAGTCTTCAGAAGTGTTAGCAGGCTCATATTGAGGTTCTTCTTTTCTACCACATTTCTTATGTTCACCACTGGTACTTTTATTTGCTCTTTGTTCCTCCGTTGGAACACTCTGATCCATATACTCACTATCTGTCTGCTTTCTTGACAATTTACCTTCTGACTTTGAAATATCCTTCCTTTCCAAAGCACAGGATTTTTCTCCTTTCCTAACTTTTGTTTCAGATTTAGCATCTATGACTTTATGCTCTTTGGTATTTTTCTCTTTGTTTACAGCATCCAAAGCTCGAATCTCCGAATTCAAATCTTCTTCTAAAGCAACATGAGCCTTCTTGATATCAGCCAACACAGATTTAAAAGCCTTAAGCTGACGTAACTTTGTAGCAGAAGTGATTTCTGAGTTATCTGTTGCCTGCTTCAAAAACTTAACATAACTGGAGTTCATGTTGGCTGTGGTCTCGATCAGTTTTTTTGCTTTCTTAATCATCTCTTTGGGCACAATTAGTGCTGAGTAAGAGTAGGTTATAGAACCAGAACACGGATCATCTAATTTCTTTTCTTCTCCATTACAATTTGAGCTATTTTTCTTTGGAGAAAATCTGGGTGTATGGTCATATACTTTATTACTCTTTTCATTGTCAACTTTTATCTTCTTCTTATTTTGTTGTAACAATTGTTCTAAATTCTCAAATACGCTGTTGCATGCAGTGACTAAGTCCAATAAAGGCTCCGGGTGACAAATGTAGCAATACCATTGGTTATTTTCATCCATTATTGTAGACAGCTCCTTTCGACCAAGGTTGCGCAGAATGCATTTTTTGCAAAAGGCATTATGGCAAAAGTCGCAACAAATCAAGTTTCCACCTTCTGCGCACCATCTGAAATTTTTTAAAGATTAAAATATTATTCCCAATGAAACTCATTTTAAATCTTTTTATTTTTAAAACAATTTAAATTTTCCTGCCAGTAATTAGTAAAGTAATGTAGGTCATCTGCTTATTCTGTATTAGAAACTTAAAACAGATATAAACCTGAGGCTTATGGAAAGAATAATCTTCCACTAAAGACATTAATTATGATACAACCAAAATATGTATCTAATATAAGGCTATGTAAGAATCCCCCCCTCCAAAAAAGGAGACAACAACATAGAATTTTAGTTCATCTTGATTAATTACCTACCTACATTGTTCATCCATTCCATCCGAGTCACGGCTAATATCATCACTCATGTAATATTTAAAGCAATTCTATTAAAAGAAAAGGGGAAAGGGAAATTTTATTCAAAATTGATAATATTCATAAAGGATATATTTTTAAGTTATTAAAAAGTTAAAGGGAGTGTGTGTGTGTGTGTGTGTGTGTGTGTTTGAGAATCAAAGCAAAAACACTGAATACCCAAAACTTGCACTCTCAAGAAATAGGAATATCTTAAGAAATTAATTCCTTGACACAGATTTCCATATCACCAAACACCACTATTCCTTACATAAAAGTTTATAAAATATTTTAGGCTCATACTAAAATTCTACATAAAAATTTATTAGATACTGTTCTTAATAATTTTAATAGCTGCTACATATAAACACATATCATGTGTACAGCTAAGCAATTAATCTACATCACCTTTAAATCTCAAAATACTTACCATGCAAGGTAGAGGGTATTCTGCTCAATTTTTGAGAAAAAGCTATGACTCATAATATGTAAATAAATCTTCCAAAGCCATGCAACAAGTAAGACTGGTATTCAACCCAAATCTGACTGACTTCAAATTCCTTTCATTCGGAATATAGACAGAAGGTTCCATGCCCACTGATAAAAACTGTTGACTACTAAAATGAGCTAGGTTCAACAGACCAGCACTTATTTAAAAAAAAAAAAAAGAAATCATATATAGGGGTAGAAATGGCTGTCTGTACTTTTTAAGATTCTTCAGGTGATTCTAATTGTCAGGTTGTGAAGCACTGACCTAGCAGAACTAGGGATAAGAGAGTGAGGCAGCAACAATTAGAATCACCTGAAGAATCTTAAAAAGTACAGCCTGCCATTTCCATCCCTAAACCACTAAATGATATATCATATATATGTGTGTGCATCACAGAAAGATGGAACCCTGGTGGTGAAGTGGTTAAGACCTCAGCTGCTAACCAAAAGGCTGGCAGTTCAACACTACTAGCCACTCCTTGGAAACCATATGGGGCAGTGCTACTCTTGTCTATAGGGACGCTATGAGTCTGAATCAACTCGACGGAAACGGGTTTCTTTTAATCATGTAAAGAGAAAGTGAATACACATTATGAATCCAGCAAGACTATACCCAGGTGTCATAATTTGAAACTAGATGCTACAGTATGCCACCTAGATGATATGCCCCTGGCTAACCTGAATTCAGAGAAAGAAGGCACACAAATTTTGTAAAAGTCTAGCACATTTAAGCAGGTCTGTGTCTATCAAAAATTCATGCGAGAACCAAGGCAAGGTCATGGAAGCTTCATAAATACATCCAAACTCCCTGAGGAACTGAATTACTGGCCTGAGCGCTGGGCACCATGGTCTCAGGGGACATCTAGCTCAACTGGCATAACGTAGTTTATAAAGAAAATGTTCTACATCCTTCTTTGGTGAGTAGCATCCATCTAAGACACTCCACTGGTCCCACCCCATCTGGAGCAAGGGAAAATGAAGAAAATCAAAGACACAAGGAAAAGATTAGTCCAAAGGACTAAAGGAACACAACTACCACAGCCTCCGCCAGACTGAGTCCAGCACAACTAGATGGTGCCCAGCTACCACCACCGACTGCTCTGACAGGGATCACAATACAGGGTCCCAGACAGAGCTGGAGAAAAATGCAGAGCAAAATTCTAACTCACAAAAAAAGACCAGACTTACAGGTCTGACAGAGACTGGAGAAACCCCAAGAGTATGGTCCCTAGACACCCTTTTAACTCAGTACTAAAATCACTCCTGAGGTTCACCCTTCAGCCAAAGATTAGACAGGCCCATAAAGCAAAACAAGACTAAACGGGCACACCAGCTCAGGGATAAGGACGAGAAGGCAGGAGGGGACAGGAAAGCTGGTAATGGGGAACCCAAGGTCAGGAAGGGGAGAGTGTTGATGTGGGTTTGGCAACCAATGTACAAAACAATATGTGTATTAATTGTTTAATGAGAAACTAATGTCCTCTGTAAACCTTCATCTAAAGTACAATTTTAAAAAAAAAGAACTTAAAAAAAATTCATGTGAGAAAAGATCTAAAGCTGGAACTCTAAGGAAAGCCTGGCCTGCCCCTGCATTTCAAGGAGGCTTTTTGTTGGGAAACAAACTAACACAGGATTAGTCTTAGCAAAAATATGATTTGGGGGAAACTGTAACCTTGATATCATAAATATTTAAAATTAACTCCAAGGTATTATAAATCAAAAAGTATTTAAAAACTGTAAAAACTATAATCAATACATAGGAAACATTTTTAATTCTATTATCTCCAAATTACGTTAAAACCCTGCTCCATGTATTGTTGTTGTTAGCAGTTATCAAGTCAGCCTCTGTCATGGCAACCCCATGTGTTACACAGTAGAACTGTTCCACAGAGTTTCCTTGGCTGTAGTCTTTATGGAATCAGTTCTCCAGGCCTTTCTTCCATGGAACCGTTAGGTAAGTTCAAACGCCAACCTTTAGGTTAGCAGTCAATCACAAACCGCTTGCAACACCCAGGCACCCTGCTCCACATAGAGAGTTTAAATTTGGGTAAGTAGGGTACATAAAAGGGAAGTTTACAAAATGCATGCATGCACACATGCACTCTTCAGGTCTTCAAACACATCAAGCTCTCCTTCACCTACCAGCTTTTGAATGCCACGTTGCCTCTGCCTAGAACCTTCTGAACCAACCCCACTTCAGTAGGCTGATTTGTATTCACAATTCAGATAACCAGCTTATATCACCTCCATTGGAAAACACTCCCCTACCCCGCCCAACCCAAATACAAATTACATAGGCTTCCTGTGTGTTCACATAATAAACTGTATCTCCCCTATCATGGCACTTATCAGGCTATTTATATGTCTGTTTTACCCACTACAATACACTACAATATAAACCGAACAAGGGCAGAGATCAAGTCCATCTTCTTCATCACTGTGTCCCGAGGGTCTGGCACATAGTAAGTATTCAAATATTTGCGGAATGAATTATTATAACATCATTACCTACCTTACAAATAAGGACTTGCAATGAAGGATGTCTATAAATGGAATCTTTTTGAAAATGATTGACCTGTTGTCCACAAGCTGTGCAGCTCACAATCCCATGAAGCCCATCTTCTAGGAGAAAGCAGTGACAATTATTCACACATACACACACACATAAAGATATTTAATTTAGTCATCACTTTGCATCTTCTGTGTTAGAAATGAAATACCTCATAATCCTTGGAAAAATTACATTTGGACACAAGTAAAAAGGTTAATAATTTTACTGACTACCTAAAAACATGACAATCTTGGCAAATTCAAGAGTTACAAATCCTAACTTGTTCCTTTTACAGATGCAAACTCTATTTTTCACAACAACTTAATAGAACATGGGGAAGAAACTCCCATAAAAAAGTTTTAAAATCAAGAGCTCTTTTTCATTTTGCTCTTGCTTTGCAAATAAGTTCACTATCAGTTTTTAAACAAGGGGGAATTAAGTGACATGTGTGGAACATATTCTTTTGCAACCCAATACTTAAATTAGGCATACCATGAAGATTTTTATGTTCAAAATGGAATTGTCTGCACAGATCCTATCACTATGATACATAAAAAAATGATAATTTTATCATATTACCAAACATCCTTCCTAAGATTTACTTCAACACTACGCACGACTCCCATTAACTTGCATTCTTTCTATGTCTATTGCACTGCCACTACATTATCAGCACTGTCTACTACTTCCAAATAAGGGCAAATAAGATACTGCAGGTATGTCTATCTTGGCAGCAAAAACCTCAGGACAGCTGAAGGAAAAGGCAGAGCACTATTCCTCACTGACTGCAGAAAAACAGATTGAAGATAACCTATGCAGAAAAGAATAAGAGGAAATCACTCCTGCCTCACTCCCTTATCCCTAGTTCTGCTACAGCAGTGTTTCACAACCTGACATTTAAGTCACCTGAAGAATTTTAAGAAATACAGACAGCCATTCCCACCCCTAAACCACTAAATGGTAATCTCCTAGACATTTTTTAATGTTTTACAGATGATTACGATGTGAAACCAAGACCTTTATCCAAATATGATACATTATGATTCAAAAGAGGCCAATGTAAATGATTGTATTCACCATCTATAAAAAGGACACAACTCAAAACAAAAAAAAACAACTGTTTCTATCCCTAAATAAAAGATAAAATACCACATACATTTCTCACCATTTAATTTTTATTCTGTTTTTGTTAGTTTTAAGATGCAAAACACAATGGCCCTAAATATTATTGCCAATATTTTCATTTGCAGAAGCTAAAAATGTTTAATGTGTAGGAACACATCATACTTTTTCAGAAAATATAGAGAATTTGAAGACTTACTATATTAGCTGCTAATATTTTATTTTAAATCACATTGTTCTATGTTAGTGTTTGATCTTGGACACTCATGTATTCTGTATTTAATAGAATACAGAGTGTAGTTTTTTCATTTCAAGTAAGTATTTCATTCAGATAAACTAACAAGATCAATAAAAACTAGAGTTTGAATGTTAATGTAATGTTAAATAATATTTATTAAGCACCTTCTATGTACTTTTGGGAGCCCTTGTGGCATAGTGGTTAAGAGCTCAGCTGTAGTGGTTAAGAGCTCGGCTGCTAACCAGAAGGTCAGCAGTTCAAATTCACCAGCTGCTCCTTGGAAACCCTAGGGGGCAGCTCTACTCTGTCCCATAGGGTCGCTATGAGTTGCAATCGACTCGACGGCAACGGGTTTTTGTTTTTTTTTGGTTTACGTGCTTTTGCGTGTGTACCACGTAACAATTAAATAAAACTAGGTGATCCCTTGGAGAATTTCCCCCACATATGCACAAGGAATTGTACACATCGATAGTCACTGTAGCACTAATCAGAAAATTAGAAAATAAAAAATCAGAAACAATTTCATAATTGGGAAATGGATAAATTTGTGGTTTATTCATATAACAAAATTTTATAAAACAGTAAAGAATAAACTATTTACTGATATGGTTAAATAAAATATAAGAACAATGAGAAATTATTGATTGTTAAATGATGCAAAAGGATATATACAGCGTACGATTTTGTATATTTTTAAAATAAAAAGTGTTTTATGAATAACTACATCTACAGGAAAAATATAAACATGGAAATGACACACGTATACAAATTTCAGGGAGGGGAGGGGAGAAGAAGAAATGGATCAAGAGTAGGACTGATCCAGTTCTTTATTTAAGTGGGATCCAAAGCAAATATAGTAAAATGCTAAAATGTTACATTATTTTACCTATTTCTGTGCCTGTAAGATTTTAAATTATTATTTTTATTTATTAAATATCTTAAAGGTTATAATACAACACCGTGTGTAAATGGAAAAGAGGAATTTTCATTTCTGAGCTCAATAAATTTTAATGGTTTTAAAGAAAACAAATTTACTATGTCACACAAAAAAGTTAAGTGTAAAATATATTTTCTAACAATTAAACTGCGGGAAGTGTGTCAAAATAGACTATGGTATTTAATAAACAGTGGTTCCTGAAATGGTCAATATATCTTTGTGCTGTAATTTTGGTCCAAATCTACATAAGATTATTTTATATGTAAAGTTTTCCTTCTTGACAGCTTAGCCTCAATTTTGGAACTAACACTGTTAGAAAGTTTGAATATTAACTAAAGCAATTCAGTATCTCAGATCACTATTCATACATATGCATATAAGTAAACAGAATTAAATTTCCTGTGTGATTTCTGACAGCTTAAAGATGTGCCAAATCATTAAGACACAAATGAGTATTAAAGATTTAAGTGCTACTATTTATCTACCTATCACCTTAAGCATGATGTAAACATTTGTACACAGAACACTCAATAAAATGTTCCAAAAACTTATTAGGTCAAACCAAATACCAGCAGCATAGCAAAGCAGAACAAAGAATACCCTCCCCAACAATAATGCTTCTTTTTAATTCTCCTTTCAGCCCTCATCCACATTTCAGACACTGATTGGTGCTCCAGAGTTGCTCTGCAAAGGATACTGTTTAGATATTCATTTTGACAAAATGCAGTATACTTAGTTGTCTGTCTCCTCTAGAAGAAAGAAATTCTTGCTACTGATCCTTACCATCATTCTCTACATGCTTACTCTCTTAAGTTTTAAGAACACTACTTAGCTGCTGCAGTGGCAGTTTTCCTCCAATGACCTAGATTCTCAGTAAATCTTTCTTATGCTTAAAGGGGTAGAACGCCCCCTTTTGGACAAAAGACTAAATATTTACTTGATTTTCTCTAACAATCTAACAAATTATTTATTCTGAAAACTGATAATATACAGTAATTTATCAGTACAAATATATTTTATTAGTCCCATCAAGATAATGATAGCTCTAAAATAAAAGTTTACACAAATTTTTACCAATACAGAACTTCACTATAATTTCACAATTATAAACATGATAAATATTAAATGGACATGTCATTGTTATACTTCAAATTTAGTAATTTAGTGTCACATTCTATCTTTTGGAGATTCACTCTTTTTATTGTCATGGATTCTGGCTCTGTTAATCTGCCCAAAAAGTACATACATGAGTTACTTAAAAATCATACACAAACAAGTGGGACACATACTCCACTGTCAACAAATTTCTAAATGAATCTTCATTATGCTAACTTTCTACAGATGGTTAGCCAATATGGTGTGTGTGTAAGTAGGGGTAGACAGACAAAGGGAGAGGCAGCTTGGGCAGATGGAGGGAGGGTTGCTAGCTCTCCCTTCTCCTTCCTACTTATCTCTGCATTGCTATCTTTAGATCAACGGATCTCAAACTTGAGTGTACTATAAGAGCACACTGAGGTACATTCTTGACTTCATCCCCAGAAATTCTAGTTTGTTAGCAGTAGAGTCAAGGGATTTGCATTTTTAATAAGTACTCCAGGTAATACTAATACAGATGACCATCACTCTGTGAAACAATGTTCTACATATGTTTACAGTTACCTGAAGGCCAAGGACAAGATTTTGTACAAATCTGAAATTCTTTCTGGGGCGGGAGTAACACATGGTATTCTGGCATATAGGTATTATAGAACTAACATGATATAACTTAATAGCCACTGAAGGCAAAGGTGTTTTGATAAATGGTGTTTAACCTTTTCTGTTTCAGAACTCAGAGAGAAACAGAAGTTATTTTTAAGTAGTGCTTTTAATAAACAATGGGCAGAAAAGTGGAGGTATTTTTAGTAAGCACCTCAGATTTTCCAATATGGACATAAACAGCACTTTAAACTTATGTTTTCATTTTCACTTGTATTTACCTCCGCGTTTTTTGAGATTTTCAGTTTTCATTTTACTTCTGCTTCTAAATTCAGGCCCTTTAAAATCATCTTTGTCTTCATTCAGCACTGGCTCTGGTTGTACAATCACTGTACCTAGAATGATTTCATTTAAAAAACCATTACACATATTAAATGTGCAAGTGAAGTACAAGACTTCAGTTCAGATAAAGCCAACATTGCTGGTACATAGTTTGTTTCCTTCAAGCTATCAATACTTGTATAAGGACCTCTCACAAGTAAATAAAACAAGGAAATAGTAAAAGGGCCAGGTGTCAACAATCAGATTACTTGTTGGGATAAAACTCATAAAAACAGTGGGGGGAGAGGGGATTATGAACTGATTATAATAGAAATGTATGAGGCAAGTAGTAAGCCACAGTCCAGTTTTGAATTTTTTAATAGTGTCTATCACAACAGCTGTTATGAAGATGAGCACTCAATCTATATTCCATAAAAAGTTTATAAAATAAGTGGACTAGAGGGAAAAATAAAAAGACATACTATTCTCATAATCCAAATCATAAACTCAGAAAAAAAAATTTAAGGGTTGCTTTGGGAGGGCAGTTGTGGGAGGGGGCAATAAGAGAAGTTCATTCTGTTATTATTGCTATGCCTATTCTGCAACATTTCACAACCATTATGTCAAAGCTGTGGTACCCTGCAAAGTCCTTAAAAAGTTTTAAACAGAAAAGTGCTTTAAGATACTTAAAGTGCTCTACCAATAAATTGTAGAATGAGATCAATTGTTGGTCCCATAAAAATAATTTAGATAGAATGTCTTCACTTAGCTACAAAACATGTGAACTGAGGTGAAAGGTTGTTAATTCAAATTTTCATTATTTCTCAAGAGTAAATAAAAGAGGGGCACAGTAAAAAGGGTACAGGCCTCAAGTTTACCTATATTACCGGGGCCTAGCAATTGGACATTATTGGCAGCAATTAAGAAAGTAAAAGCAGATAGTTGTCAGGGACTGTCTTTCTGAAACATGGGCAAATGTTATTAAACAAGCAGATTTTGGCAAGTTATAGCATCTACTTGTTAAATGAGTTTCTGCGTCTCTGAAAAAAAAGGAGAAAGGGGGTAAAGAGGACTGAATTTTTACAAACTGTAGTAAATTTAAATAATACCCACCAAAACACTTTATTCACAATAATTATTTCATGCATATACTTCTAGAGAAGCCCCAGCATTTGAGAAGAGCTAAAGATTTATAATTAACATTAAAAAAAGAGTGAATTCTTTCTGAAGATTCTTCTCTAAATGGACGCAAAGCAGCAGAGTGCAAAGAGCACTCACTAGCTTTGGATTGAAGCCGACATGGGTTCAAATCTCACCTTGTCAACTTAAAGCTGAAAAAGTTCCTTAAGCTCTGAATTTGTTCCTTCATCTCTACAAGCAGAAACAATAGCTAACTTACAGTTTTGTTTTAAGGATTAGATGAGTTAATTCTGTAAGAGTCTGGTACCTATATATACTTAATAAAGTACTATAACAATAATAATAACTACCCAGAGTAAACCTTATGAAGCTGGTCTATTTTTGTTTTGGTAGGGGAGAATTAAGTTTACTTAGTTTAGGTTAGTAATATCCCAGATTGACTGACTTCCACTGCACCATTAAATGAAATCTTTGAATTCCCAGCTCTTAGATCCCAACACTGGCCATCATAAGTACACGCAGTGAGAATGTAAGAATCCAGAGTGAGTCACTGCCTATGGGACTCAAACTCCCATGTTAGTTGTTTCTGTCCTGGGCCACCAAAAGCATACTGTCACAGATGATTTGCAAAGACAAGTAAATGGTAGGTCAATCAGTTTTCCTTCTATCTTTCCCCTTCTTGTCACTCATTCCCTTTCCTCATTTAATTTCTCATCTTCTGTAACTCCTTATTTATCCTAATCAAGTGAAGCCCTACCCCTCCCACACATCATATTTTAAAAACCCTCATGAATCAAAAAATATATCACAAAAGCATAAATATAGACAGGGAACAATATTTAGTAAGCACTGATAAACGATCTGACATCAAGAATAAATCTGAAAAGTTTGCTAAGAGCTTTAAACCTATTATTTAACAAAGAAAAAATAACTAAAACTTTGACTCTTTGAAACAACATTATATCAAGTCCCTTGTTATTCTTTTATCATCCAAAGATACTGCTCTCAGATTTGGGCTATGAAAAGTCCTAGATTTTCATTTGGCTTTTTTCCCCAATCTAATTAATGAGGTTTAAAGGTTAAAACTGCAACAGTTGAAAGGTATTTGATAAAATTTTTGAAAGAGATAATCATAAGAAATACACCCAAATCTATCTTTAATAGTTAACTTTGATTTTCAGCCTTAGGAAATTAAAAATGTGACGAAATGGAACTAGAATTTAAATGTTTTTTTAAAAAAGTTTTCAGGGATATTTGTTACATTTTTGTATACAGCACGCATGTTAACATTTACTGAACTTAATATATTAAATTTATTAACATTCACATTCCAGAATAATTTCAAAATTAAAACCTCTTTTCTAAAAGCCAATGGAAAGGGAAAACAGATTTTGATCTTTTCAAAGCTAACAGAATATTCCAAATTTTTAACCACAACAACACACATTACCGTACTAACACATCCCAGACTACCACTAATAAAACGCCAAGCTTGGTCCTTTACACACAATTAACAGTAATCAAGTTCCAATTTTATAATATTTTAAAAATGTATTTAAACTTTAATTTGATATACAATATTAATACACATTACCTTTTGGCAAGCTTTGCATAGTAATGTCATTTTCTGAATTTTCATTAGAAGCATCTTCATTTACAGTTTCATCCAAAGGTTTTTCATCATCAGATTCTACATACTTTGTTACAACTGAAGGCTTCCTATGAAAGAATTAAGTCCATAGAATTATGGACATTTGTGACAACTAAAACAACACCCAAAGAACATAGATAGCATCTGTAGATGGAGTACTGGCTCCCAAACAGGGATGCAACATCACAACTACATAGGGAAAAATACATCCCTATATTGCACTATAAAGATTGATTTAGTAGGTCTGGGTAGCACTAAGACATCTGCACTCTGAAAAAGGTACTAGGGAGATACTGAAGGTTATCACTCTTTCAGAATCATTACTTTCGAGAATAAATACGAAGAAAGTTGTGTTTATAAAAGGAATTCCTATTGATTAACAACAAATGTCCAACGAACTAAGCTGAGAACTCCTACTAAAAGCTATACTACAAAATATATCAGACATTATAATGTACTTAGAAATAGTTTTATTCCTTATTTACATTTCTAGTTGAAGGTTTACCACAAAAATGTATTTTTACCACTCTTTATCTCCTCATAACTTCCTCATTGTTATGATGGCTATTCACTTCCACAACCTCAACAATTTCAGATAACCCTAAAATTCTCACATTACTTCATTTGAGGCATTAAACATTTCATTTACCCTTTTCTCCTTTTGTCAAACCATATATATTATATCAAAGAAATGAAGTATATATTGGAAGGGTCACTAATACACAATAAATCCTCCTCAAAAAATTCCTTTAAAATCCAGTCTGAATAAATTAATAATTATCGAAGCCAGTTGACAGATACATGGGGCTTCATTATACTATGCTGTCCATTTATTTAACATGAATGTTTGTATAAAATAATTTACTTAGAATAAGAGTGTTACAAGTTAGTTTTTTTTTTAAATTATTACTTTTAGAAACAGAAAATAAAACACCCTGAAAAAAAAATGACATTCTTCCTTAAAACATTAACCAACCTCTTTGATCGTGACGATCCTGAAGATTTGGATTTCTCTGAAGAGCTAGTTCCCTAAATATAAGAAATACAAAATTGAGTGAAACTCTCAAGGGAATATCCCTAAAATTAATTATTTCCCTATAACAAGATCTTGCTTATAATGAAACACTATTTATATACTTAAAATATTTCTCTAAAAGCAACTTCAAAAACTGATTCTCCTTCATTGAGTATTACTTGTGTGTTTTTTTAATTGTTACTATTGTGTTTTATGGGAGAAAAGAGGACATAGTGCTATACCATGATCCTGGTTCAAGTCAACAAACTAACAAACAAAAAAAAAAAAAAACAGGTATAGAAATAATCATATCCAAACAGAGGTAGTGAGTTTTAAGGATCTGAAAAATGTGTCATTCTTCTTTACCGTAATATACAGTTTGGAATACTTTCTAAAAATTACCCTTGTACTGCCAATATCTAGAGTATATTATTGAGCCCTAGTGGTTAAGAGTTTAGCTGCTAACCACAAGGTTGGAAATTCGAATCCAGCAGCCACTCCTTGGAAACCTTATGGGGCAGTTCTACTCTGTCCTACAGGGTCGCTATTAGTCAGAATTGACTCGATGGCAATAAGTTTGGTTTCAGTATAGTATATTATATTACACTGAACTTTTACAGTAGATAGAAAAAAATCACAAAATGATAATGTAGCCCTGGGTATCAGGTGAAGATTCCAGGATGGGCTGCTAAAATTATGTTATAATGAAATTCTGAATGCCCAGTTTTGAAAGATCTCAAAATCAAAAAAAAAAAAAAAAATACTCATTTAACTCCCACCCCCGAGATAAACTGTAAAATATAATAATGTTTAAATACCTATCTGTAACAAGCTTTCAGTTGGCTGAGTTTAGGAAAACTGCTGAAGTGAACAACAACAAAATAAACATAAATACTTTCTCAACCTAGACAAGTACCCAAATTGAAATACAATACTGACACGTGTATCACTGCATTTTTATGCAAACAACACACGTGTTATACTTTTTCTTTGCCAACTGCACCCTCCACACCCTCCCAAGATATTTCTGTAAGCACACTATGCTAACTTTTTTACATATTGCTGAAAAACAATTGGCATAGCATGCATACAAAAATATCTTGCAGAGGGAAGGCACGGTTGGCAAAAAACATATAATATGTGCATTATTTGCATGAAAATACAGTGCAGGTGTCTTAAACATGTGAACGTATTAAGTAAATGCAATATGACCACATATACTATAATTGGTTAATAGTAAATTATAAATATCTTTAAAATGCTGCAAATTATTCCTACCTCTTCCTTGCTGTTTTCCATCATATCAGAATTAGTTCCAGCTCCACTGATTTTATCTAAAAAGTAAAAAGTAAGTGAGGAACATTATTTATGTCTTAAATGCATTATCGAACAGAACACTAATACCAACAACTGCATGAACCCATTTTCTAAGCTGGGGAGTATGGCAGTATTGGTGATAAATTATTCACATTAAAATATACCAAATAAAAATGAAATAGGATCCATGCCTCACATCATACACAAAAACAAACTCAAATTAGACTAAAATACCTAAATGAGTAAACTAAAACCATAAAATTCGTAGAAGAAAATGCAGGCGGCAAAGCTGTTAGGCCTAGATTTTAACAATGGATTATCTAACATAATAACAAAAGCACAAATAGCAAAAGACAAAACAAATATATGGGACCTCATAAAAATTGAAAACTTTGTTCATCAAAAGGCTTTACCAAGGAAGTGAAAAGACAAGGTATCGACTGGGAGAATATCTTCAGAAAACATATATTCAATAACCAAAATACATCTAAAACTTCGACAACTTAATAACAAAAAGACAAATAACCCAATCAAAAAAATGGGCAAAGGACTTGAAAAGACATTTCACCAAAGAGGACACTCAACTGGCCAACAAACACACGAAAAGATGCTCAATATCATTAGTTATCAGAGAGATGCAAATCAAAAACACATTAGGATGGCTAAGATAAAAATAACAAAAACAAAATAATAAAAATTGGCTAGGATGTGGGAAAATTAGAACCCTTACCCACTACTGATAGGAATGCAAAATGATACAGCCATTGTGGCAAACAGTGTGGCCATTTCCCCAAAAAACTAAAAATGGAACTATCATATGACCCAGCAATTCCACTCCTAAGTATATAACCAGAAGACTTAAAACCAGGCTCAAACAAATACTTGTACACCAATGTTCATTGCAACACTATTCACAATAGCCAAAAGGTAGAAACAACCTAAATGCCCATCAACGAATGAATGGATAAACAAAATGTGGTACACATATACAATAGAATACTACTCAGCCAGTAAGAGAAATGAAGTCTTAATAACTACTAAATGTGGATGGAACTTGAAGACATTATACTGAGTAAAATAAGTCAATTATAAAAGGACAAAACGAGACTAAATAGGCACACCAGCCCAGGGGCAAGGACAAGAAGGCAGGAGGGGACAGGAAAGCCGGTAGTGGGGAACCTAAGGTTGAGAAGGGGAGAGTGCTGACATGTAATGAGGTTGGCAACCAATGTCACAAAACAATATGTGTATTAACTGTTCAATGAGATGCTAGTTTACTCTGTAAACCTTCATCTAAAGTACAATAAAATAAATAAAAGGACAAATATTTTATGACCTTACATATATAAAAAGACAAGAACAAGCAAACATATAGAGACCGAAGTTTCTCAGTGGTTACCAGTGGCAAGAAGGAAGAGGAAAGTAGAGTTATTACTTATGAAGTATTGAGTTTCAGTTTACGGCAATGGAAAAATCACACTGACTGTGGTGTAGGGTTGCACAGTCGATTAACGTAATTGCTGTCAATAAGTTGTACAACTGTAAAAAGTAGAATTGGCAAAAGTTGTGTGATAGATATTTTTACAACAAAGACAAGAAGAGCAGCTGCTGAGGCTGCTTATGTACTACCAAAAACTTCACAGGATTTAGTCCCTTGGTTTGGAGGTTTAGGGTCATGGTTTCATGGGACATGCCAGTAATTGAACTAATAACATGCTTAATGTTTCCCACTCATAGTTCACTGCATAGTGTCTAGGGTCTTAAAAGCTAATGAGCAGCCATCCAAGGTACAACAATTGGTCTCTACTCACCTTAAAGAATAGAAGAAGGGAAGTCAGGAATAGGAGGGGGAAATGGAATGTGTGGCTAATTGCTTCCAAGACCACCTGCCTCCTTTGCCATAAGACCAGAAGAACTGGATGGTGCCCAGCTACCATTACCAAACATTTTGATCAAAGACTCTACAGAAAAATCCTGATGAAAAAGGGGGGAAATGCAGATCAAAATTTTAAATTCTTATGGAATCCACACTTCCTGGAGCAATGAAGGTTGGATGAACCTCTGACACTACTGCTCTGAGATAAGCTTTAAACCTTAAACCAAAAACACTCCCCTGAAATCTTCTTGAAACCAAACAATACTTTGCCTAAACTAATAAAGAATGTCTGCCTTGAGCATTATGCACTTTTAAGATATACATGGGATTAAACTGACAACAGCAACTCAAAAGATTAGACAGGAAAGTTAGGGGGCAGTGAGTTTATGTAAACTGGGGAGAACAACTCAGAAAAGATGGGTGACGATAGTTGCACAACTTGAAATATGTAATCAATGTCACTGAATTGTATATGTAGATATCGCTGAATTGGTGTATGTTTTACTGTATATAGTTTCCCCAAGACAAATAAATTATATAAAAACAAGATATAATAATTAAAAATACATATATGCACCTAACTTCAGAGCCTCAGAATATATAAAACAAACACTTAGAAATTGAATGGAGAAATAGGCACCTCTACAATAACAGTTGGAGACTTCAATAAAGACTTTCAATAATGGACAGAAGATATAAAAAGATCAATAAGAAAATAAAAGACATGAATGACATTATATACCAGTTACCTAACAAATATATCAACAACACTCCAACCAACAACAGCACAATAAACATTCTTCTCCAGTACACATGGATCATTCTACAGGATAGATCACAGGTTAGGTCATGAAGCAAGACTCAATAAACTACAAAAAATAAAATTCTACAAAGTACTGTCTCCAACCACAAAGGAGTGAAATTGGAATTAATAGTAGAAAGAAAACTAAAACATACACAAATATGTGGAAATCAAACAACACACCAATAAGTCAAAGGAGAAATCAGAAAATACTTCTGAGTGAAATGAAAGTGAAAGTACAACAAATAAAACTTACGGGAAGCAAAGAAAGTAGTGCTCAGAAGGAAATTTATATCTGTATCTGCCTACATTAAACAAGAAGAAAGATCAGAAATCAATAACCTCACTTTGTAACTAGAGGAACTAGGAGGAAAAAAAGACCAATGCAAACCAAAAACAACCAGAAGGAGGAAGATAATAAAGATCAAAATAATGAAATAGAAAATACAAAAATAGAAAGAATCAAAAAAAAAAACAAAAAAAAAACAAAAGTTGATGTTTTCAAAAGATCAGTAAAATCAACAAACCTTTAACTAGACTGTCAAAGAAATATAAGAGGCAAATATCTAAAATAAGAAATGTAAATAGGGACATTACAACTGACCCTACAGAAATAAAAAACGTAAGACAATACTATAAACAACTGTATGCCACCAATTAGAATATCTACATAAAAGGGACAAATTTCAAGAAACATGTACTCCTTAAACTGACTCAAGAATAAATAGAGTTGCAGAGGCAGGGCCAAGATGGCAGGGCAGTCAGACGCTTCCACTGGTCCCTCTTACAACAAAGACCCAAAAAAACAAGTGAATCAATTATATATGACAATCTAAGGAGCCCTCAACATTGAAGACAAAGTTGAGGAGTTGGACTGAGTGGCAGGAGGAGGGAGAGACAGTTCAGAAGCAGTGAAGATTTGCCAGACCTGACCTGGCCAGCACCTTGCAAGCTGGATCAGCTGGCACACATGGGCTGAGGCAAGCAGTAGCGCTCGGGATGCATTTTACACATCAGGAGAAATCAAGCAGCGGAGAGTCTGTTCAAGCCTCCAGAACCAGGGAGCAGTGGCGCTAAATCGGTGAAAGTTAAGTACAAGCATCTAACCTACCACGTGCGGGACCGAAAACACCCTTCCTTACTTTCAGAAGTACCTCTCTCCAATTTAATTGCCCCCTTCCTGCTCTGCTCTGGGTCCTGGTCTCACTTCAGCGATTGCTGCGCCCCCAGGTCAGAAGTAGGACCCGTCACATGCCCCGAGCCATTCTCCCAGCTTTGGAGAGGAAAGAAATTAACAGAGAAAAATAATCTGCCGGCTCCCCTAAGCCGGGACCTCGGGGCAGGCACAGCCCCTTTACCTAGGCACGTACTCTGAATGCCTTTCACCCATGCCTAAGCCTGTGTGAGCCCATTTCAACAGCACAGACCCCTATTAACACAGTACAACAGGGTATATACCTGAAGCCTATTTTCAACTGTAACAGCCAAGGGAGAGTGGCAGATTCATGACATATGACACCTCCCTGCCCATTAAGCAGGGACCTCACCTACTTACATCAGGGGCGTGAGGACTGGTGGCTCCACCCACTCAACCTAGACACCCACAATAGGGATCCAAGAATAAGTGGTGCCTCCCATTCCTTACAGCCAACAGCACTGGGTGCCCAAAGTCCGGCTGTAAAACCCACCCACCTATGCGCTCTAGAGAACAGGGTCACATCTTCCACCCAGGCACTCAGGGGCAGCTGTCAGCCCCCACCTTGCTCAGCACATAACCCCCTACTACAGCTAGATACCTGTGCCTGCTCCAATTACACCTGCTCATCTAGGACTGTAGGTGAGAGCCTGCACCACACACTAAGTGACCAACGACCTGGACACCTGAGCTGAATCCACACAAGAAAAGCGAACGGACACCTGGGCTCACATTCCTAGTAACAGCTCTAACCACCTGGTTACAGAACATGAGAACTTCAAAGACGCCAATAATCAAAGTAGCTCACAGGACCTGTCTATTTGGGCATATCAAAACAAAAGAAAACAAGAAGCTAGGACACGGTAAGCAAACATAAAATAAATATAATAACTTATTGATGGCTTGGAGACAAGTGTCAATCTCAAATCACAAAGGGGCAGACCATGATGGCTTCAGCAAGCAACCAAAACAAAGAACCAAGAAAACTCCCGGAGGAAGAGAACTTCTTGGAATTACTGGAGATAGAATTCAAAAAATTAACATACAGAGCTTTTCAAGAGATCAGGAAGGAAATCATAGAAAACACAGAACAAGCCAAGGAACACAAAGACAAAGCAACACAGGAACTTTAAAAGGCCATACA